GGTTGGGGCGTGCGCGGGGTGCCGGGAGCCGTGCGCCCCGGGGTGGGCGCTGGGTGCTGAGTGGGACCGGAGCATCCCTGGCTCTCGCGGAGTCAGCAGCGCTCACTGTTAGGCAAGAACGTAATTAATCTCCAAAGCACTTTTTAGCACCAAGAATCAGCAATTAAGGTGGTAGAATTGGTAATTATAAAGGATCTGGCCGGCTCCAAGCCCCCTGGATGCCCCCCCCCGAGGAGAAGCCCACCCTGAAAATCCCTCCGCCTGGGGCTCGCCGTGCTGTGGGTCCCACCGAAACGTGCGGCTTTTGTCTCTGCGCCGCTCGTCGCTCCCGTTCCCCAGGCTGGAATGCAAAACCCGCAGAGCTGGAGCGGAGCCGGGAGGGTCTCCAGGTCCTGTTTTCATCTCTAAACCCGAAATTTGTCACCTTTCTCTGCGCATCAACACTTTCTGTATCCCCGACACTGAGCCTGCCCGACCCGGGGCACCCGGCTTCACGCTCCTGACGGTTTATTTTCCGGCTATAATTGCTTCAGCTGTTCTCACTGTGCTGTGACTGCTCCAGCTGTTTTCTTATTGAATATTAACACGGGAGCTCCAGATGTTTGTTGGGTTTTTTTTTGCCATACTGTAATCCCTCCAGCTGCTTCCCCTATGCTTTCATTCACCGGGGTTTGTGGCTTCCCCCTGGGATTGATCTTGGGGCCGCGGATACGTTCGCTCTCGGGTGGGATCAAGCAATGGATATCCGCCTATGGATATATTGCAGATATTCCCTGCGGGATTGGCCCCGCGTCTCCCGGCCTGGGAGGGTGAGGAGGATTTGAGCTCCCGTGACTGGGTGATGAGCAGCCGCCAGCGTAATTAAGCGAAGGTGGCGAAGGCTCGTTAATAGTAGGACCCTTGCTTGTGGTTTGTTTTGGCAGGAGGTCGGCTTTGGTTCTGATGCTGCACCGGTGCTTGTCTCAGGGGTGGCCCTGGGGTGGGCTGCACCCATGTCCTGAGCGGTAAACCCTGGTTTTAGGCTGGAAACCCCCATTTTTGGGGCATTAAGAACTTGGTCAAACCAAGGGCGTTGTTCACAGCATCGCCTTGGAGTCCGGGCAAAGTCCCACTGGCTCCCGGCTGTGTGCGCAGGGCACCGGGAGAAGAGGGTGACCCATCCATAAATTACCCAATTGGTGTTTAAGTGCCCCATATGGGAAAGTCGGTGACCCACAGCTGGAGATTTTGGACTACATCTGCATTAAAACATGAGACTCAATCCTGGGGACCTGTGGAAATACCGTTGGAGCGTGGCGGTGCTGCGGGGAGCCAGTGCTCTCCCGTGCGGGCAGGGTGCATGCAGTGCGAGTTAGAACAAAAATATATATATAAATGCATAAATAAATATATACATGCGGCTATGGATGGCAGAGTGGTATAGACACACCTGGGAGCTGTTGTGTGCCTCTGCAGGTCTCATCCTGGTGCATGCACAAGCATGTGGTGCCTGTACCTATATCTATATATAAAAATATATAGGCTATATATATATAATATCTATATAGGTACACACATTCCTGCCCTAAAGGTTTCTGTAATTCTCCGCAAATTTAATAAGCGCCTTGTGTACACATGTAGGACACAGCGCCTCTGATTAAATTAACTTGTAAATCAAGTGGAAATTGTGTATTTGCACGGTGGGAAGCGCGCGGAAGGCGATCCCTCTCTCTCGGCCCCGTAATTAGATGTGAACAAAACCTGCAAAAAAAAAGAGAAAAATAGAGGGGAAGGGCTGACGTCCCTCTGCAACGGGAGGGTGTGTGTTTTGGGCACACAGCCCCGCAGCAGAGGATGCTGCTGGTGAATCGCGGTGTTTGCCGGGCCATCGCCTCTCCTGTCCTCCTCGCTGACCCCCCCCACCCCCCGGGTCAAGAAATCCATGGTAAAGAAGTGAATATCGATCTTGGTGCTGTCGATCGCTCTTATTGTTTGCGGTTATTATTGTTGATGGTGTTAATTAGAGGGGATGGCTGGGGCATGTCGAGCCTGTCTGCAGATGAGGATGTTATTGCTCCCCGGGGGGAGTGCCGGCAGTGTCTCCTGGGGATGCTGGTGGCTCTGGGGGGGATTTGGGTTCTATGGGAAAAGGGAATTTATTTTTTTTTTCTTTCCTTGCACTGGTGAGCTCTGCTGATGATGACATGTGGGGGCTTTCTGCTGTGCTGTCGGAAATTGGGTGTGATGCCAGAAACGGTGCCTGTGGGGTCTGTGCCGTGGTGTGGGGACCTTCCCCGCCATGGCAAAGTGTCACCAGGGAGCTGGGAGCATCATTGTCCCGGGGAGCATCACCATGGGGAGCCACCAGCTGCCGTCTGGTGGCACATGCCGGAGCTGGGTGACGTGGCAGAGGGGACATGGGGGCTTGGTCATCGGGGTGACCTGCTGCAGTCACCTGGAGGGGTTTCCTGGAGGATTTCTCCTTCCAGTTGCATTTCTTGCCACATCTGAGCACGTCCCCTTTCCTTCCCCAGTGCCTGGCGGCATCGCCTCGGAGTCCCTTACCTTCACCCCGCTGGAGGACATGATATTTCTGAAGTGGGAGGAACCGGTGGAGCCCAACGGCCTCATCACACAGTACGAGGTATGTCCTGGGTGGCTGTGGCACCCGCGGGGGACCTACGGGGGACACGGGAGGGTCCCGTCGGGGGGATGCAGTGCGGGGGGATCTGGGGCAACTGCTGCTTTCGGTTGTGGGGATGAAGGGCGGCTGCAGCGTTACTGCTGCTCCCAAGCCCTGCGTTAGGAGCACGGATCCCGCCAGCAGGGTCTGTCCCTGATGGGGCATCCTGCTTTCAGGGTCACCAGTATCATCCAGCCACGGCTTTTCCGATGAACCTCTGCTTTTGATTTACCCCAAAAAGCGTCTGCCTTTTAGTCTGCCCCCATGACCATCCCCTCCTCTGAATCCATCCCTTTAACCCCATCTCTGCCCGGATCCGGGATCTCTCCCCTCTCCCGTGGCTGCTGGTGATGCTCTGCCCTGTCCCTGCAGATCAGCTATCAGAGCATCGAGTCCTCCGACCCGGCGGTCAATGTGCCCGGCCCACGACGTACCGTCTCCAAGCTACGCAACGAGACCTACCACGTCTTCTCCAACCTCCACCCCGGCACCACCTACCTCTTCTCAGTCCGGGCCCGCACCGGCAAGGGCTTCGGCCAGACGGCGCTCACCGAGATCACCACCAACATCTCTGGTAGGTTCTGCCCGGCTCCACGCCCGGTGCTTCTCCTCTGCACAAGTAGATGACGGCAGTGGCAGAACCTCCAGTGCGCTCCCGTGGATTTTGGTGACTGGCTGCTGCTATGGAAGGATGCTCTTGGTGGTGGCAGCTGTGCCGTGAGTCCCCTGGGCAGCCCCAAAAGCCACCCAGCCTGTGGGTCTGGCTGGGGAGTCCAACCAGCCTGGTGCACTGGTGCTGTCTGAGCTACCAGCGCACAAGTGAGGGATTAATTGAGCTGTGTTAATTAACCTTACAGTACTCGGGGCTGTTGCTTGTGTCTGCGGCGTTGCCGTTAACTGCAGCAAATGGCCTGAGATGAGCCCTAATGGGGACACCGAAATTGCAAAGCGGTGCGAGCCGGACCCCAGCGGCTGCTAGGGATGGCTTGGGGACAGCGGGGCCATGCCAGGCACGAGGGGGTCCCCCACCTTGGTCTGGGGGTGCTGCTGGGCTGGCTTGGGTGTGCTTTTGTCCCGGGTGGGATGCTCGCGCTGTGCCGGTGGTTCGGAGCGGTGCTGTCCCCGGGATGCATCTGGAAGCCGGAGCATTCGTGTCCTGCCGAGGTCGGATCCTGCTCCCATCTCCTCCCTTCTGCCAGATGGGTGTTGACAACCCCTCTTGGCGCCCACCCACGTGTCTTCTCCCGACTGCGACGTTTGCTCAAGACCTAGAAGGGTTTTATTGATTTGTAATAATCCTCATTACGCCATTCGGTCATACCTTGCCGTGGGCAAGGCTGCTCGTGCCTCAGTTTCCCCCCTGAGCGGGAGGACAGCCCTGAGCTCATCCCTGGGGATCAGGACTCACTCCTGCCCTCTCTCCCCTGCTCCCTTTGCAGCTCCCACCTTCGACTACGGGGACATGCCGTCGCCGCTGAGCGAGTCGGAGAGCACCATCACGGTGCTGCTGCGGCCGGCGCAGGGCAGAGGGGCTCCCATCAGGTAGGTTGGGGGGCGAGACCCCCCACAAACGGGGTGGCACGGGGTGGATGGTGGGGTCGAGCATGGAAAGAAACGCAGCATCATCCTTTTCGTGAAGCTAACCTATGCTTGGTCCTCGCCAGCACCTACCAGGTCATCGTAGAAGAAGACCGGCCCAAGAAGCTCAAGCGGGAGCTGGGTGGGCAGGAGTGCTTCCCGGTGCCGCTCACCTTCGACGATGCCGTGTCCCCTGGCTCCGTGCACTACTTTGGGGCCGAGCTGCCCGCCAGCAGCCTCACCGAAGCCAAACCCTTCACCGTGGGGGACAACCAGACCTACAGCGGCTAAACGAAACCCCCCCCGGCGCCCAACGTATCTCTTCTACTTCCAAGCCATGAGCAACCTCAAAGGGGTGAGTAGCTGTGGGACCCCGCTCCGTCCAGTGGGGTGTCTGGGGTCCCGGTTGGATCAGGCAGGAGCCCGCCTGGGGTCCCTGGGGGTTGTCAGAAAAAATGGGACTTGTTTTAGATCCCCTTCCCACTGGGCTCATCCCCAATCCCTGCCTGGGGGGAACTGGTGCTCCAGGCCACCCTTATGGCACATTGGGAATATGGCCAGGTGTCCCCCTTTCTCCGGCACCCCCGGGATGTGCCTATCCCCCTCCCGGTGATGGAGCCCAACCTCTGCCACCCACTGCAGTACCGGCTGGGACCCCCAACCAGCGTCAGTGCAGGGGAGACCACCTTCCCAGGGCTGATCCTGGGGTGGAAAATGACCGTTTGGGCAGCAAAAGCCGCGCGCGCATTACTGGGACCCGCCGTTGACACAGCGGCTGCTGCAGGAGAGCTGCTGGGAAGCTGCCGAGTTCCCGGGCTGCCCTCTCCCTGCCTGCTGCTGCCTGTTCTCTCGGGGACGCCGTGACAGCCCCGCTCCGGCAGCAGCCCCCCCTTCCCCCAGCATTATTTCCTCCAAGTCACCATCGGGACCACCGGGATCCCCTTGGGGACCCTTCTGGGCTTCACCTGCTCCGAGTCCTCCCGTCCCACCCGGGGGAGGATGAGCTGTGCTTGGCTCTCACAAGCAGCAGGACCGCCACAGCATCCTCATCCTGCACGGCTCCGTCTTGCCGGAAAGGCGCTGGGTTTTGAATCTTTTTCTCCGCTCTGGGATCATTCACACCTCGCTGGGTTATAATTAGAGCCGAGACAGACGAGGACGATCTCGGGGAGGATCTCAGCTCTGGCTCGCTCGGGCACTGCTGGATAATAACTCGTGGCTGACGCTGTTTTATAGCCGTCCTGCTGGGAGGCACTGGATTTGTCCTGAGTGCTGTCAGACGTCGTGAAAAAGCTGGATCCCAGCTTAGGTTTTTTTGGGTTTTGGTGCCAGATGGAGCAAGAAGCAGGAGAAACAAGAGCCGGCAACCTTAGGGTGAGCGGTGCCGGAGCCGGCCCTGCCCTGGGCACACTGCACGGGCAGGTCATGGTCCGAGGGCAGATGGAGCAGCGTTGCCAGCACTGGTATCCTGAGGGGCTGGAGGATGCTTGGGGAAGAAAGCAGCCCTGCCAAAACGGTGTTTTATATTTTGCGATAGAAGTTGGATACATCGAAGGATGGAGTATTTGCGCTGAACCCATCCCTAAGAATGTGAATGCTGAAACTGTTGGAGACCTGAGCTCGAAGCCCTCACGGCGCCCTTGGCGTGCACCGAGGCTGGGGCTTGAAAACTTTGACCAAAACCCCCCCATGAAGCTCTGAATGATGACCTGGGAGTGTTTTAGCTGTAGTTGGGTGACACACCGGTGACCTGGGGCTCATCTGGGTCTCTCCTTCAGTGGTCTTGAGCTTTGCCGTCCCCTCTGTGCCAGGAGCGATGACCTTGGCGAAACCTGGGGCCAATGGCGACAGGTCATTCAGCAGCATCTCTTGGGGTTTGTGTCCCCAGGAGCTCCTCTGGCTCAGCAGCACCTGCAAACTCCCTCGATTTGGGGGTCAAAGCACCAACGCACCAGCCTTGTGTCCGCCCTCCACAATGCTCATCTGACACTAACCCCCCCCTTTTTTGCCTCCGTAGGAAACCCGGCTGAACTGCGTCCGGATCGCCCGCAAAGGTGAGCCCTCCCTTTCCCAGCCGGCGCGATCCCGCCGGGGCTGCGGACCCGAACCTGCGGCTGCTCCGGCAGTTGGGGCCGTGCTGGTGGATGTCGTTACCGGCGCTGGCGGTGGTCAGGGTGCGCACGGTGGTTTATTACAGCCCCGTCCCACCCTGTTGTTTCCCATGTTCTTCCGTGGGTGGGTTTTTCCCTTGGCTGTGGTTTTCCTCTTAATGCCGTTATCGCGATGGGAGGGTGGAGGCAGTGGTGCTGGATGCTGAATCCAGGGATGGATGAGCGTTGGGCGTGAGGAAAGGTGACACAAAGGGTCCCTTTCACCCTGTGAGAACTGAGAGGGACTCGCCCACGGTGACGGTGTGGCACTGCAGAGACCTGTAACGTCTTGGTGGAATAAAATGTGTTCAAGGAGCGATGTGCATCCCATGGGACAATTCCCAGTGTTTTCCCATCTGATGTTGCCAAACCCCCCTGGAGCTGAGCGGTGACCCTGTCCGTGTCCCCTGGCAGCTGCCTGCAAAGAGAGCAAGCGTCCCCTGGAGGTGTCGCAGCACTCGGAGGAGATGGGTCTGATCCTGGGGATCTGCGCCGGAGGGCTCATCGTCCTGATTATCCTCCTGGGAGCCATCATCATCGTCATTCGGAAAGGGTAAGGAGACCTGCTGTCGCAGCTGGTGCCTCCATCCATCCCCTCCTCCCAGCTCAGCCCTTCTCCACCACCCCAGCCCTAACTGGGAGTTACTGGTGGTGATACTGCTGTGCTGGGCAGACTCCAAACCCTCCCTCAAGCTGTGCCCCCATGCGCTCGTGCATCCCACCGGGCACGGTGGTACCCTCCTTGCTTTGTGACACCAGGCATGGCAGGAGGCACTGGGGATCAAGGAGCCAAGTCCTGGGAACGTCCCTTGGTCCTCGGGGCTGCGCAGCTTTGTTCCACTGTCCCTCTCCCCTGTATTTTTCAGTCTTTTGCCTCTTTTTCTGCTTTGTATTGGCTTTGTGCTGCTCTGTCGATTCTGCATCGATGGGGAATGCTTCTGGCCAGCATCAGACTCCGTGTCCCTGTCGCACCAGCTGTCCCCTTGCTAACGGCAGCCAGGAACCCCGGGGTGTGCGGCCCTCTGCCCCTACAGCCCAAAATTAGAAAAATCAGCTTGATCTGACTGAGATAATAGTGTCTCTGGGCTTCCCTGCTGCCTTGGCCAGTTCGGGGCCAGATCCATCCGGAGGGGCACTGCTGCCGGGGGTCTGGCTGTGCTGGTACCCCGCCGTCGGGGCGGGTTAGGGATGAGGCCACCTATGATTCCCTTGCATCGAGCTGGCGTTCCTGGAGATGGGAAGGAGGGGAAGGCATTGCACCTTCCTGTTGTTGCCGCCTCCACCAAGCTCCCCCGAGACAGTGAGCGAGCGCCCGGCACCTCCCAGCACCGAGGGGAGCAGAGGGAGGGGAGTCCCACCCTGGGAGGGGGGGCTCAGTTCTGGGGTCACAGCCAGAAAAAACCTCCATCCACCGCTTTTGCCTGGAATGCGGTGTGGTGTGTCCTGCCGGAATACCCGGGCAGAATCTGGCTCTTGTCCTGTGCTCCGATTCCTTGAGAGCATTGGGAGACCAGTGTCTCCCCTTCCCCCGGGGCCGGGCAGGGGCTGCCTGTGGCTACCAGCTCCGGGGGTGCGGGTGCTTGGACCATCCCGCATCCTCCTGTGCTTGTTTTAATGGGGAACCAGTGAGCTTCCAGTGAAACGTGAGCAATCCCTTGCTGAGAGCCTCCACCTGGCTCTAAATGAGTCTTTAAAATTTGGGTGCATGCCGGAGGGGAGGTTTTCCCAGGGCTGTCAGTCCCTGGAGACCCCCAAACAGAGGTCCCTGCCAGGGAGCCGAGCGTGGCCAGCGTGGGTGCGATGGTGGCCATCACGATGGAAGGGATGAGGGCGAGGGCTTTTTGGGACACTCATCCCCAGGAGTGCCGGGGATGCGGCTGCTGCTTTTCACTCGGGCGCAGCGCTCTGGAAAGCGGCTTCGTGCCGTGCGGGGCTCGAGGCGACACCGAGCCGGGGGGGCTCTGAAAGCAGAAAGAGAAAGGGCAGCAATTACACGCCTTCCCCGTGCGGGGTTCGGGTTGATGGGAGGAAAGTACGTTAACAGCCAGGGGGGAGAGAGAAAAACAGCAGGGCAGAACCTCAGCCCGTGTGTAAATCGGCAGATCTCTTTTGTGGTTTTGTTCGCCCTTTTAAAGGATTCGTGCTGATTTACGCCGGCTGGAAAAGCAGAGCCGTAACCATCCCTGCACGCTGCGAGGGGTGCAGGGCTGGCTCATGGCTCCCTGCCCGCCGTTGCTCTGCAATGATGCCCGTGCGTATGGCATCGCATCTCTCCCTGATGGAGCAAATGCCGGCGGTGCCGATGTGTTTTTGGGAGCGATGCTGTTGAGCCGGCAGGTGGGAAGCTGTGAGGGCGACCGCTGCATTCCCATTGCCTGTCCTGAGGGGTGGGAGGAGGAGGAGGAGGAGGAGGAGGAGGAGCTGCTTCGCTTCAACATCCTGGGGTGAACCTGTCGAAGGACAAACCAGAACTACAAATCAAACCCAGCACCGAGGGCCCGGAATTCAGGGCTGTTGGGAAGCTGGGATGAGCTCATAAATCTCCTCCGGAGCGTTTTGCCATTGGAAAAACACTGATGTGGTGGGATGGAAATGCGCCTCTGGAATGCGCTCGCCCCTCATAAACGGTGCTCTGGAAATGCATCATCCTGACCCCATCTCTCATGCCGGCGTTGCTTGGCCCCTAACCGGCTCCCCCGGAGATGCCCTACATTTTGGATGTTTCCTGTTCAGTCTTAAAAATTGTGTAATAACCCAGTGGACACGGGTGCTATGGACACCCCACCGCCGGCGTGGGGACCCCGGTCCCCCTGAGAGCTGGTGTTGGGGCTCTGCTGCAGGGATGCCGCCTCCTCCCCGGAATAATTAACCTGTGGATGCAAAAGGGGAGCGGGATTTCTTTACGGTGCGTTTATTTTTCTGGCAGCTGAGTTGCCCTGTAACTCCCCCTTCTCCCCTCCCCTTCCCTATGCCGGAGAAAAGCTGCTTATGCAATTTCTGCTGTTCTCTTTGTTTGCACGCTTGCCAGGAGGAACTACTATTCTTATTCCTATTACCCGTAAGTAATTGTCATTCTCTCTCTCCTTCGCCCTTCCTCCCGGCCGCCCCCCCTGCCCTGCTGCTCCAATAAGTCCTTTTCTCTGCCGAGTACATTTTAAGGGCCTCTTTGGCTCGGGGAAAATAATGCTGCCGAGCTTTTTAGAGACCGAAGGCAGCGTAAAGGGGAAGGGTCAGCAGCTCTGGGTTGAATTCTGGATTTTGGCAGCGTCTTGCAGTGTCCCAGCCCTACCAAGATGCCCACATGGGCTCAGATCTCCTTTTTATCCTTCTCCTGGTTTAATCCCTGCTCTGGCTTTTCGGTAGCCTGATGCTGCCTCTCAAAAACACTCAATCAGGGTTTTTTTTTTTTTTGCCTAAATGTCTCAATTTTGGAGGGTGAGGTTCTGTTCCAGCGAGAGCTCCTGGGCTTTCCCAGCATCTTCGTTAGGTGCCTAATGGGGTCCTTGAACAGGGGGAAGAAGCCTCCCTGGTTGGTGCTGAGCATGAGCTGGGGGGTCCAGCCCATCCCTTGGGCTGGATTTGACCCCCCGGCATGGTTTTAGAATCACAGAATCACAGACTGGTCAGGGCTGGAAGGGCCCTCTGGAGATCATCTAGTCCCACCCCCTGCCAGAGCAGGGGCACCTCCAGCAGTGGCACAGGACGGCGTCCAGGCGGGTTTGGGATGGCTCCAGAGGGGGAGACTCCCCCACCTCTCTGGGCAGCCTGTGCCACTGCTCTGCCGCCCTCACAGCAGAGAAGGCCCTCCTCAGGTGGAGATGGAACTGCCGATGGTCACCTTTGTGCCCGTTCCCTCTTGTCCTGTCACTGGGCACCACTGAACACAGACTGTTCCCATCCCCCCGGCACCCTCCCTTGCAGGATTTGTATGTATTAATAAGATCCCCCCTCAATCTTATCGTAGAATGGTTTGGGTTGGAAGGGACCTTTAAAGGCCATCGAGTCCAACCCCCTGCCATGAACATCTCCAACCAGCCCAGGTTGCTCAGAGCCCCATCCAACCTGACCTGGAATGTTTCCAGGGATGGGGCGTCTCCCACCTCTCTGGGCAACCTGGGCCAGTGTCTCACCGCCCTCATAAAAAAATCTCTTCCTTATATTTCATCTGAATCTCCCCTCTTTTAGTTTAAACCCATCACCCCTTATCCTATCACTACAGTCCCTATTAAAGACTCCATCCCCATCTTTCTTAGAAGACCCTTTAAGTATTGCAGGGCCACAATAAGGTCTCCCCGGAGCCTTCTCTTCTCCAGGCTGAACCCCCCCAACTCTCCCAGCCTGTCCTCCCAGCAGAGGGGCTCCAGCCCTCCCAGCATCTCCGGGGCCTCCTCCTCTGGTCCCACTCCAACCAGTCCATGTCTCTCTTCTACCTCCTGCACTCGTACTGTGCACAGTGGTCCGCATGCCCTGGTGGATGGTCCGTGTTACGGCAAGGTGGTGTGGGGACAAGGGTGGGTAATGCCTGGGGCAATGGGGCTGGGAGAGAGCCGGGGCAGACCTGTGCAACGCCAACTGGCCGGGGAGAGCCTTCGCTTGCCCAAGGAGCGCTCTGAGCTGTTCCAGCCACTGGGCATTTTGGGGAGGGGACAGGAGGATGAGCAAACGGAGTTGCTGTAGCCACCGAGAGATGATCCACGTGGGGCTGCGACCGGCTCGAGGCACTGGAAAACCGTAGTGTGATGACTGCTGGTGGAAATAATCCATCCTACTCCCCAAAATAATCGAAGCCCGGTAGCTTTGGGGGAATGTTGCAGCACTGTCGGGTCAGCCCGGCTTACGTGTGCTTCTTCCCCCTCCTCCTCTTTGCATCCCCCTGCAGAAAACCCGTCAACATGACCAAAGCCACCATTAACTACCGCCACGAGAAGACACACATGATGAGCGCCATTGACAGGAGCTTCACTGACCAGAGCACACTGCAGGAGGACGAGCGCTTGGGGCTCTCCTTCATGGACACCCACAACTACGGCAACCGGGGTAAGGACAGGGAGCCGCGGCATCCCTCCTGCACCCATCCAGCCGCAGCAAGGGACCCCAATAACCCCTAAATATCCCAGAAACAGCTGAAATATTTATCCAAGGCTCAGTAGTGCGTATTGCATCTGGTTTAGCCTGATGTGCGTGGCACGTCGCGGGCTTTTCCATGCCCTGTGTAACCCTCCAAGGGCATCGATCTAATCGGCGTCCGTAGTAGCTTTTATTGTCATCCAGGTTTTGCTGAAGGAGGAACCCAACTTGAGCTGGGTCTCTGCGTCTCGACCTCTCGAAGCAGAGGTCTGAGCCGGTGGCTGGGAAGGGTTGAGGCCATTTGCAGCCTGGCCGGTGGACCCCAACTCTTGGGTTTACGCCGAGGTTGAAAGCTTCGCACCAGCCTTTGGCCAGCGTGGTGTTGCCGCACAGCGTTCTGCGCAGCCCTGGGCTTCGAAGGGTTAAAGAGCCGCCGCCTTCACATCAGAGGGAGACTGATAATTTAACACCCACTGGAGTATGCATCTCCGTGCTGATTTAGTTGTAAAATAACTCGTCGGATGCCCCAGTTTCAACCATATGCTAATAACATCTGTTACAGTAACTTCAAGATGCTGCTTACCCACAGCTCTTCTCCACCGGCTGCGGGATTAATACGCTTCCCGGCATTGTCTCGCGGATAATAGAAGCCCAGAGGGCAAACTTTTCCTCCTCTTAGTACATCTAGCTCGGTTTATTATTTTTCGGTTTCTGTCCTTGGAACGCTCGTAGGCTGGTGGGTCTGGCTGGGCTGCGCTGGGGCTGCCGGTCCTCTGTCTCCATAGGGAAGGGGCTGTGGGGCCGGATCCTGCTGCCACCCGCTTCCTCGCTCTGCTGCTGGCTGCTCCTCAGCCCTCCCCTTGGTAGAGGAGATGTGGGGAGCTCGGGTTCTCTGCCGCAGCTGGGGACAGCCTCCGCTGCAGCCACCCCTGCCTAAAGCATCATTAATTAACGAAGGTAAATGAGCGGGCTGCTCCGTGCCTGGCTGGGGGCTGTTCCCTGCCATGCCTCAGTTTCTTTGCATTTAAAAAGAGTCATCGGTGCTTCTCACGGAAACCCAAGTGGGTCCTCAGCCTGTGGCTGCGCGGAGCCGTCGCCACCTTCCAAACACCCGCAATTAATTTCTCATTAAACCCAGCGGCCGGTGCACCCGTCAGCCGTGCCCCGGGGCGCAGCGTGAGCCTCCCGCGCTGTCCCATTGGTTCCACCACACGGTGGGAGATGTTCCCAGATGCAACGGTTGGAGCATCATCTCCTTGGGGGTGGTGATGCCTGATGGAGACCCTGCTCGGTGCATGTCCTGCACCCACGTTGCACCCACGTTGCGCGGGTGGCCGGGAGGTGTGGGCAGGGGGTGAGGGAGATGGCGAGGGCGGTTTTTAGAAGTGGTGAGAGGGGAAATGGCATCCGGCGGCGTGCGGACGGCGTTGCGGGCCACGTGCTGCAGGATGCGTGCCCACCGCATCTCGCGGCGGCGGCGGAGGAGCATCGGGTTTTGCGCAAACCCAGATTTCGGGATCCGGTTTTGGGAACGTGCCCTGACAAACGCAGGCGAGGGCTTAGTCTGGCTCTGCTGGTAATTACACAGCAAAGGCATAACCCAGGTAAATACTGCATAAACTCCCCCATTAAACAGCAGCGAGCTCCATTTGTGGCAGTGCTGGGAATAAGGCGCTGGTGTCTAGCAGCGAGGAAAATTGACTGTTAAGCTGGGCTGGAGACGTTGGCAACGTGATTTTTCTTTAAGGCAGGACTTTGAGTGAATATTTGGGCACGTAGCTCTTACTCGTCTGGATGGGAGTTAATTGCTCCATTGGGTGGGAAATAAGCTTATTAACCCCCTTACCACCTCACCCACTGATTTCTAAGAGATTTGTTGTGGTCCTAAAAGGCTGTAATGGACATTTTCAGCTTTGTGGTGTAGGAATTGCTGCAGAGAGTACAGGGAAGAGGGTCCGGACCGCTCGTTGTCCCAGGAGGGAGACTGGCTGCAGCACCAGCATCTCCCGGGGATGGTTCCAGGGGCCCTCTTGTCCCTCCTCTCAGGGTGCGAGGAGGCGATGGGGACGCAGTCCAAGGCTTTGCTCCTCTGATGGTCCCCGCTTTTCCCTCTGCTTCTGCAGGCGACCAGCGCAGCAGCGTGGTCAACGAGTCCAGCAGCCTGCTGGGGGGCTCCCCTCGCCGCCAGTGCGGCCGCAAAGGGTCCCCATATCACACTGGGCAGCTCCATCCCGCTGTCCGGGTGGCGGATCTCCTCCAGCATATCAACCAGATGAAGACGGCAGAAGGCTACGGCTTCAAGCAGGAGTACGAGGTGAGAGCATCTTGGTGAAAGCATCTTCGTGAGAGCATCTTGTGGTGACGTCTTGGGGAGGGTGGGAGGTAGGATGGACAAGGTGGCGTGGGTAGGACCCGTGTGCAAGGAGAAGGTGCTCCAGACCTGGAGCTGCAGTGCTCTGGACAGCAGGAGCTGGAGCTCACAGCTCTCTGGGCAGACATCATCAGCTCTTGGGGTGTCCCTGGCTCAGATCAAATCTGTGATCCTGGCAGCTCAGGATGTCACAGAATCTCAGAATGGTCAGGGCTGGAAGGAACCTCTGGAGATCATCTAGTCCCACCCCCTGCCAGGGCAAGGGCACCTCCAGCAGTGGCACAGGACGGCGTCCAGGCGGGTTTGGAATGGCTCCAGAGTGGGAGACTTCCCCACCTCTCTGGGCAGCCTGACGATGTCATCGTCACCTTGAACAGGTCCCTGAGATGAGCCAAACCACCTGTGCCAGCCTACACCGCTCCCACAGGCGCTGGGGATGCTTCTCCCTTTCTCAGGGCAGGACAATGTCATGTTCTTCTGCTCTCCAGCACACTTGTCCTGTGATAAGCATGGCCATAGCCTAAGGACAAGCAAATCCTCTACAGTCTGGCACCTCCCAAGACCATGAAGACCCGGGGGAGAGGATGGGGGAGAGGGTGATCCCAGAGGGAGGGAAGTCTCCCCACCAAGGGTTGTTGGCCACATCGTGCCCATCCCACCTTGTTGGGTCGGAGAGCTTGTAACGGAGCGCGCTATTCCGCGTGCCTCTGCCGCAGCGTGCCCAGCGGGGTTGATTTCCCAACTCCTCAGTATCCAACAGGTCTGGCGATTGAAATTTCCCAGTGAAATTACTGTTTAATGCTTAGTTGTTTCAAGTGCAGGAGCCTCCCCCCCCCCCCCCCCCTTTCATGTATTGGACAAACCAGGGCTTGCTATAATCATTAGTGCTCCTTGAAAAGCTGCTGTATGTTCTTGGAACTAGTCATTTGAAAGCACTCAGATATTATGGGAGGGGAGAAAACATGTAATTTCCTTCCACTTTCCTCCTCTTACGCCAATCTATGAATGTTACTGCTATTACACACAAACCTATTCTGTGCTGGGGAGAGAAATGGACTGGGGAGGTTTAGAAAAAAACCCCACAGCCGACCCTGGAAAAAAAAAATAAAAATCAGGCACTCTGTAATTTGCTGGAAAATGGGGCATTTTGTTGATGCAACAGAAGCGTGTAGCGGGCAGAGCGTGCTATGGGGCTGGGGCTGCAGGACCCAGGTGTTGGGGCGGAGGGACCACCTCCCTGCTCCCCGGGGAGGTTGTGGGGCCGGAGGGGACCTCACGGGCCTGCCCTCAGGTCGTGATGGCCATCCTTTCCTTACAGAGTTTCTTTGAAGGCTGGGATGCTTCGAAGAAGAAAGACAAGACCAAAGGGAGACAGGATCACATATCGACATGTGAGTGCCTTCAGCAAAGGCTTAGAGACCCTGAACAGCTTGAAAAACCTTCTAAAAGGCTTTAGGGGCTTTTTTTAGTAGGTGCACAGTCCATGGCAAGGAATAAACTGATGGGGCTTGGTTGGTCAAGGGCAGCAGAAAGGTCCTTGCTCAGCGCAAGGATCCCAACCTGAGAGCTCCTGTTGAGCATCAGACACTGGAGTGAATTGGAGGGATGGAGCTGGACCAACATTGACCCCTGGAGCTGGATAACTCTTGAAGACAGAACATCTTGGGGTGCTTTAAAATTGATGGTATCATCACCATGATATTCTGGGTGGTGCTGGAAAGCCCCGGATAACCTGGAGTGTGTTTTCTTGTATGGATTTATAAGAACCTTCAGCGCTGCCCCAGGTAGCTTCTGGTGTGGATGTGCAGGATGAGAAAAGGTGGATAAATGATGGGTTTTTAGGACAGAAGATAAGGGAAATGCTTGACCCCACCAGGGAGGATGCTCCTCGCCATCTCCCTCTCCAGTCAGTGTGGCATGGCCACCGTGCTCCCTGTTGCATCTGGTGATGTTCCAGCAGGGATGGAGACACCAGGCCTGGCCCTCTAGGAGCTCTGGTGCTCTCCACTTCCCACATGCTTTGCTCCTCAGCTTCATCCCTTCCACTCCAGCTCTGTCCAGGGCTCCAAGTGGACACTAGAAGGTTGGGCAGAGCTCTTCGCTCTCCTGTCTGGGCTCCGGCTGTTGTGGTGCCCTGACCTGTGGTGTCAGGACTGGGCGGAGCTCAGGGAGATACTGTGCTGAAAGCCGCTTGCCCATGTCCCTGCTGGTCTAAACCACCATTTTTGGAAAGACCTCCACCGACTTGTACTTATTGCTCCTGAATACATCCCACCCGCCTGCGGTTTGCAGATTCCAAATGCAAAACGATTGCAAAGGGAGCCCCAGGACTCAGCGGGGTGACGTGCTGTCCCCGGGCTCATCCCCCCGGGCGCTGACGGTCCCTTCTCCCTTTGCTCTCCAGATGACCGTCACCGAGTGAAGCTGCACCCGCTGTTGGGCGATCCCAACTCGGACTACATCAACGCCAACTACATTGACGTAAGTGGGGACGGTGCCTGTCTCCGGGGGGGATCTGGGCTGGGACAGGAGCGTCCCGGGGAGCCCATGGGCTCTCAGGGTCTGTCCCCGAAGAACCAGCAGCGTTTGGAGGAGCTGAGACAGCCCAGGCCGGGCCGAACCGCGCAGCCCTGAGACACGCCATGAAGAGCCTGCCTGGTTTATTTATGTCCATCAGCGATTTCTGCTTGCTGTGTCTCTCCCTCCTCTGCTCCATCTGTCCCTCCTTTCTCCTCCCCTTTTCCATCCTCTCTTCTCCCCTCGCCTGCTCTCGTGGCCAGGGTTCTCCCTCCTCCCTGGATGGAGGATGCAGAGGTTGAGGGGGCCAACGGAGCAGCTGGGGGCTCACACTGGGAACCCCCCCGATCCTGTTAGTGCATGTGAGTCTGGGCAGAGCTTGGTCCTGGTGTCCTCTGAGAGCCACGTCCCCCCAAGAGCGATGTCTCCCGTCACCTCCAGTGATGCTGAGACATGGGGAGGTGCAGGAAGGGCTCCATTGGGCACTGGGCTTGAGCCTCTCCTGGAAGCAGCAGCAAGTCCCACTCTTCCCTCCTTTCCAGAGGGTGTTGTCTGGCAATGGTGGCCGGATGCCACTGTGATGGGTTCCTTGTGCCTGAGCAGCATCCCCGTGCCTGTCCCCTGTCCCCGTGTGTCCTTTCTCGCCTGTTCTCCATGACCTGCTCCGGGGCCGGTGCTCTAACCTGTCTCTTGCTCTGTGCCTCACTAATGTCTCTGTCTCTGATCTTTTTCTCTCAACCTGTGTCCCAATGGGATCGTTAAGATTCGGATTAACCGAGAAGTAAGTAGACAGTTCCAATCTCCTTCCTTCTCTCTGCTCCTGTCTCCTCCCAGGCATTGTACCGGGCAGCGTGGTGTTAAATAGCATCTGGGAGAGGTGGGCTGGGAAAACGTGTGGATAAACTTGTGAATGGTCCAGGGAAGGGGAAAGCGATTTCTGCGTGGCACATCCTCCCCCGGGTGATGGGGACCAGGGACCATGTGCTTGGAGGAGGGGTTGACTTCAACCCTCAAAAATCCCCCATGAAAGGACCCACGGTGGATGGAGAAGCCACCGTCATCTCCGTGTGTATGATGTGGTTGAACTCTGCTGGACCCATGGCCGATGGGTGGGACACTGGGTCCCTGATCCCTTTGGCACTGGCCTTGCTGGGCTGTGCTCTTTGGGCTGCCACGGCCCTGTTAAATTGGGAACAGCCCCAGTAAGCGGCTGGGATGAAGGAAGGGAGCGGGGCTGTCACGCAGCATCACGTGGCTGCTGTGGGACGGGTTATCATTAACGGGACTCTTGGCGGTGGTGTTGCCGTGCTCGGCAGCGATGCCGGCGGCAGCAGGAGCCGGGGTCGAGCCGTTGGACCCCAGGATGCCCGTGAGGCGCTGCTGGGGATTTTGGTGCAGAATGGGGATGAGGGTTGGGGGTTAACAGGAGCTTTTTGTGAGATGTGGGACATGCAGCCACTCAGGACAGGGTGTGCAGAGTGGCTGCTGAAGCTCCTCCTGCAGCAGTGGGTAGCGCCCGTGGCCTGAACGTGGGCAGTTGCCACCACTTGGGTGACTGGGAAATGTTTTACGGGGCTGTGCCCCAACGTGTCGCCGTGACTCGGGATTGACGTCTCTGCTTCCCTTGCAGGGCTACCACAGGTCCAACCACTTCATAGCCACGCAAGGTGAGTCCCCTCCTCCCCCTGCCCTCAGCCAGCGGTTCATCAGCTCCTGATTTAGCAGCCGGGTTTTGTCCCCGGTGGGATTTAACCTCCTGTGGGCAAGAAAGGGAGGGAGTGGGCCAGTTGGGGGCCAGATGGGGCCATAGCGATGCGGAGGAGCTCCCACCCCTCCTGCTGCCCCACGGCACCACATGTCTCTGGGGGAAGATGGTGTTTAAAATGCTGCGGGGGTGTTAGGAGGGGAAACACGGTGGTGTCGCAGCGCTGCCTGTCCATCCCCGGTGGCCTTTCCTCTGTCCCACAGGGCCCAAGCAGGAGATGGTGTATGACTTCTGGCGCATGGTGTGGCAGGAGCACTGTTCCAGCATTGTGATGATAACCAAACTGGTGGAGGTGGGCCGGGTAAGGACCCCATCCCATCCTTCTCATCTGGGCTCCAGCTCTGCCAGAAGCCTCCTTTGCATAGCCAAAATCCCGTCCCATCCTCTCCTCGCAGGTGAAATGCTCCAAATACTGGCCGGATGACTCCGAGATGTACGGGGACATCAAGATCACTCTGGTGAAGTCAGAGACGCTGGCCGAGTACGCTGTCCGCACCTTCGCTCTGGAGAGGGTACGGTCCCGCTGCTGCCGGCCGCGACCAGCCCGACCCTGCCCTCGCGGGGAGAGAACTGACGGCCTTGGGCGTATCTAAGCATCGCTAGATTGGCATTTACCAATACCCTGTTTATTTACCCCAACATGGGGCTTTCATCCTCGGTTGAGGTGCAACCTCTGAACCCAGGGATCATAAAATCACAGAATGGTTTGGGTTGGAAGGGACCTTGAAGATCATCCAGTGCCACCCACTGCCCTGGGCAGGGCCACCTCCCACCAGCCCAGGTTGCTCCAAGCCCCGTCCAACCTGGCCTTGAACACCTCCAGGGATGGGGCAGCCACAGCTTCTCGGGGCAACCTGCCCCAGGGGATCACCACCCTCACAGGAAAGAATTTCCTCCTGATATCTCATCTAAATCTCCCCTCTTCCAGTTTGAAGCCATTCCCCCTCATCCCATCACTCCATGCCCATGTCACAAGTCCCTCCCCAGCTCTCCTGGAGCCCCTTTAGGCACTGGAAGGGGCTCTGAGGTCTCCCCTTTTTCGCCTTCTCTTCTCCAGGCTGACCCCCCCCAACTCTCCCAGCCTGTCCTCCCAGCAGAGGGGCACCAGCCCTCCCAGCATCTCCGGGCCTCCTCTGGCCCTGCTCCAACAGGTCCATGTCTTTCCCATGTTGGGACCCCCCGAGCTGGAGGCAGCACTGCAGGGGGGTCTCCCCTGAGCGCAGCAGAGGGGCACAATCCCCCCTCGCCCTGCTGGCCACGCTGCGGGGGATGCAGCCCAGGATGGGGTTGTCCTTCTGGGCTGCGATCGCACACTGCCGGCTCATGTTGAGCTTCTCGTCAATCAGCACCCCTCGGGGCTGCTCTTTATCCGTTCTCTGATGAGCCTGGATTTGTGCTTGGGATTGCCCTGACCCAGATGTAGGATGCCGGTAGGTCCTTCCTTTGCCTTTTCCCTGGCTATGCACTCCACTGAGGTGAGTGGCTCAGTCCCACTTTGGTTTCGGCAGTGAGTGAGTATTTAATTTCTATGTGAGCACCGTGTAATTGCGACGGGGGTGAAGGATGCTTTTTTTCTCCTCCGGGCTGGAGCACAGGTTATGTGGCCATTACTCTCCAGCGTACCTGGGGGTGGAGCTGGTGTGATTTACCCCTTAATCTACAGGAATGTGAAATTACTGTCTAGTTATAGGACAGGTAGCAAAGGTGGTCATGGAATGAGACCCATGGCTGCTGCTACCTCCTCCTCTTCCTCCTCGGCTGGTTTTTAACCCTCTTGCAAAGAGGTGGAGGGAGCTGTGGGGCTGCCAAAGCAGCTGACTGCTGTGTGGTCCATCTGGCTGGATGCTGAGCTGGCAACATCCTGAATTCCCCAAAAAATGGGGTGTTTGGGTGGCTTTGCCCTCCCCGTGCACCTTCACTCCATCTTCCCCTTCCCTTGCAGCGGGGCTACTCAGCCCGGCACGAGGTGAAGCAGTTCCACTTCACGTCGTGGCCCGAGCACGGCGTCCCCTACCACGCCACGGGGCTGCTGGCCTTCATCCGCAGGGTGAAGGCGTCCACGCCGCCCGATGCCGGCCCCATCGTTATCCACTGCAGGTACGTGCGTGGCCGTGGGGCAGAGCTGGCTGCGGGGCGAGCATCCCCCTCCAGGATGGGGGTTTGGGGTGGGTATGGGTGGCCCCAGGGGGAGTGCATTGTGTCTCGGGTGGGTGCTCAGCCTCTCCGGCTGGGAATGTTGTTAAAAGCTCTGAATGATGCTAAAATATTCAGCAGGGAGATAGGAAATGTATAAATTGAGTTCACAGCAAGGAAAGGCTGGGGCGGGGAAGGCACCGTGGACTGACGGCGTGGGGTTGGATGTCCCTCTATGATGGCATCCAGCTGTAAAGTGTCACCACCGGGCTGGTGGCAGCAGGGATGGAGGGGCTGCGGCTGGTGCAGGGGGGCAGCAGGGAGCAGCAGTTTTTTTTGGGGGGGGCTGCCCCAGTGCCTGGTATTGATGATGCAGCTCTGTCCCCATGGGTGAGGGTGACACAAGGGGATGGGCAGCTTCATCGCTGCTGGTGGTCAGGACGTTGGGTCTGGCCGAAGGGAGAGGTGGGGAGGGGACAGCAGGACAGCCCCATTCCCAGGGTTACCCACAGGACTGTCCCCGCGGGGCTCAGCCATTGGGACACCGGAGCTGGGAGGACGCCAGTGGCACGTCTGAGTGGGAGCGGTGGCTTTTTCTGTCCCCTGAGCAGGCATCCCCATGCGACTGGTTAATGGCTGGGCAAACAAGGAGGAGCTGATGAGCGGGAGGGATTTTTTTTTTTTTTTTTATTTGATTTCACCCTGTCAATTGCCTCATCAGTATTCATTCACCGGCAACAGCGAGCGCGATTAGTGCCTGTAGCCTGTAATCACTGATAATCACGACGAGTGATTCATCAGCCCCAGAAATTAGTATTTCAGTGGAAAAGACTTTGTAGGAAAGGAGCAGGGGGAGCGGGTCTGTTCCCGACACATCGCGGGGAGGGAGTCGCAGCATCGGTAGGTCTTTGGCTGGGAGTCCAGCCAGGCTGGGATTTGGGATATCGCCGCTGCTGGGTTGTTGGGTTCTGTGCAGTCTGCTGGAACCTGGGGGTCTCCCTGCGGGAATTCAGCCCCGCGCTGTGCCGGCGGTACCTCCCTGTGCTCCCAGGGCTCGGTGCAGAGCATCCTCCTCAACCCCTTTGGGATGCGATCCCAGAGGACTGTCGGCACTCGGCTGGTTTGGCTGCAGGTTTTGTTGTGAAAAAAGCGTGCGTTTTGCTGTCTTAAAGTAAAAATGAACCTTAGACGTGGTTGCCCACCCTCCCACCCACAGCCTGACCATCACACAGCGCCCGGGTTGCTGCAGTGGGGTGTTTGGGTGGGTGGTTTAAGGCGAAACCAGGCTGTGGTTACAGAGGCGGGGGGAGTCACCCACACAGACCTTGCTCCGTGCCCGCTGGTGTCTCGGGCTGTGTGTGGGTGCCATGCGGACTGGGAATGTGTTTGCTGTATTTTCCTCCTCCATCCCCAGTGCCGGCACGGGGAGAACTGGCTGCTATATCGTCCTGGACGTGATGTTGGACATGGCTGAGTGCGAGGGTGTCGTGGACATCTACAACTGCGTGAAGACCCTGTGCTCGCGGAGGATCAACATGATACAGACGGAGGTGAGCGGGCATCGGGGACGGCTGGGGACATGTGGGGCTGCTGTCCCCAGCAGGTTGCAGGGGCTCAGCCCTTTCCTCTTTCCTCCCCCTTCCTCCAAAAAGGAGCAGTACGTCTTCATTCATGACGCCATCCTGGAAGCCTGCCTGTGCGGGGAGACCAGCATCCCCGCCAACGAGTTCAAGCCCACCTACAAGGAGATGATGAGGATAGAGCCACAGAGCAACTCCTCACAGCTGCGGGAAGAGTTTCAGGTGAGTGGACCCAAAACCTCTGCATCCCCAACCCCAAAACCTCTCCATCCCCCCTGGCAACACCCATTTGCTCCTCACCCTCCTGGTGCCCTCTGTTGGTGGGCACTCTCTACAACTACCTGAAAGGAGGGGGTAGAGAGGTGGGGGCTGAGCTCCTCCCCAGTGACAGGTGATAGGACGAGAGGAAATGGGTTCAAGTTATGCCAGGTGAGGTTTAGATTGAATATTAGGAAACATTTTTTCACTGAAAGGGTTATCAAACATTGGAAGAGGCTGCCCAGGGAGGGGGTGGGTTCGCCATCCCTGGAGGTGTTTAAAAAAAGGGCAGATGTGATACTTGGGGACGTGGTTTAGAGGTGGTTTTGTCAGGTTGGGGTAATGGTTGGACTTGATGGTCTTAAAGGTCCCTTCCATCCTCAGCAGTTCTATGATCCTGTGCCCAGCGGGCTCTGGGGGGGATGGCTGGCCCTGGGGCGGGGAGGCAGGGAGCTAAGGGGAGCCCGTGTACCCGCAGACCCTGAACTCGGTGACTCCCCACTTGGACGTGGAGGAGTGCAGCATTGCCCTCCTGCCCCGCAACCGGGAGAGGAACCGCAGCATGGACGTCCTGCCACCCGACCGATGCCTTCCCTTCCTCATCTCCGTGGACGGAGACAGCAACAACTACATCAACGCGGCCTTAACCGATGTGAGCGTGCTGCGGGGGGCCGGTTTGGGTTGCCTTGGGTGGCTTTTCGTGGCGAAACCTTGCTTGGTTTGAATTTACATCCTGGAAGGCACGTGGCAGTCCCTGGCTGCGTGCTGGGGGGAGGAAGGGCCGGGACCGGCGTAGCGTGATCCTTCACCCCTTCTTTTGTGTAGCAGCAAATTGCTTGTCTTGAAAGAGCTTTTCGCCTGCTCTCACAAGCCACACACGAAGGGTCTTCATTTATTTCGTAGCAAAATGGAGCACAGGAGGGAGAGGAAGCTCTGGGAAGGGTTGGTAGCACCGAGTCCCCCCTGTGTGCTGCCAGCACCCTCCTGTGCATCCTCCTGCCCCTTTTCCCGGTGCAATTCAGGGGGTTCCGAATTGGACCCGAAGCCTCTGCGCATCCCTCTGCTGCGGTCAGAAATGACACCCGTAACGACAAAGATATTTCCTCCCTGCTGATGGCCGCAAAGCAGAGCGGAGAGGATTCTGCGGGCTCCAAACCTGCACCGAGCGATGGGTCATTTATCACCAAACCCACTTTCCTCTCCTTGAAAGCAGCCGGGGTGCTTTGCACGGGCAGCGCTGAGCCCTGCTGCACCCCAGGCGCCTTCCCCGATCCCTCCTGGTCGCAGCTGAGCTCTGGCGTCAAGCTGAGCCCTGCGTTTTTTTTAACCCCACGGGTGATTTATCTTTGTGCAGATCTTGTCTCCCCGTTACCTGCTCTCGCAGCAAAAAGCAGTCGGCAAAGCAGAGGTGGCTGCTGGTGATGGGGGAGCGGCAGGCGGTGGGCTGCGAGCTTTGGCTACCGTGGGATGGGAGCTTTGTTTTCAGCTTGCTTGGTGTTTGCATATCCATTTTATTTTTATACATCACTGAGCCTCCCTTAATCTCCGCTACAGGGTCAGAGAATAGAAATTTCTTTACAGACAGAAAAAGCCCTTTGGATGAAATTCTGCTGAAGGGATAAAACCCATTTGCCTCTTTGGGGGGAGGAAAAAAAAAAAAAAAAGAACTCATTTTCTTTAAGTGCCAAAGCGGTTTGTTCAGTCCATCCGTCAGTCAGATGGGATTGGTGTGTGCTGCCCATCACCGGTGCTGGTGCCGGCGGCAGGCTGATGGAGCCGTGCTCTGCTGCGTGCCAGCTGCCGTCATTTACTCAGGTGCCAAAGGATTGTGGGGGCCCGGTCAACACCTGATGAACCCCCCTCGCCCCACTGCTCTCATTGCCCTTCTCGAGGGCCGAAAGCTCTTGCCGTGAGCTGGCTGCGGTGAGCCAGGACTCTTGGTGCTGCCCCATGGATGGAGCAGGAGGAAAGGTTTGATAAGGGCATTTCCTAAATGAGGAGGTTTTGCAGCAGCCAGAGGACTCCCCGTTAGCAAAGAGCTGTGCTAACTCTTGGGTACAGAGCGTTATCTGCTCTGTTCCTGTATCTGAGGAGGCTTGAGCTAACATGTGTTAATTTAGAAGTGTGATTGATGCGGCACTGAGCCCAGCCATGGGCTCCCCATCCCTTGGCAAGCTGGCATCGGGATGACCAAGGGGACACGTCTCATTCGAAGCATGAACACAAAGTACAATCATTTTTTGTCCCCCTTCCTTCTTGCAGTCTCTAGAGGTCTTTCATTCGTGTTTCCTTTCCTCCCTGAAAAGACCATTGACCTCGTTGTCTCTTTGCTGCTCTCGGTGCCCGGAGGTGTTGGGGTGCTGGGGGGTGATGCTGGGGGGGTGATGCTTTTGCTCAGGACTGGGCTGCAGAGCTGGGTGCTGGGGCCATCTGGCAGCCACAGCTTCTGCTTGTTCTTGGCTTGAAGGTGACATCTTTTCCCTGGTTATTTGTGCAAAACACCCTTCCCTGCGAGAGCCGAGAGCGGAAAGCGGGTGCTTTCATCCCCAGCAAGGGCAGGGATCACTTTGACCTCTTTTTATAGCATCTCCCCAGCACCAGGGCTTGGAGGGACCAAGGCTGTGCCAGGGAGGCCAGATCTGGTCAAGCACAGAGAAGATGGCCTTGGTGGCACTCATCTTCTGGTTACACTGTTTTTTTGAGGTGTGACAGCAGTGGCTTCAGCGCCGCTGCCATGTCCTTAATGGTGCTTGTCTTCCCTCTCCACAGAGCTACACCAAGAGCGCTGCCTTCATCGTCACCCTGCACCCGCTGCAGAACACCACCACCGACTTCTGGCGGTTGGTGTATGACTACGGCTGCACATCCATCGTCATGCTCAACCAGCTCAACCAGTCCAACTCCGCCTGGGTGAGTGCTGCTGTCCCCGGGACTGCTCCAGCCCTGCAGGTGGCCTTGTCCGACTCCGTCCCCAGCACCTTAGAAGTGCTGCAGCCCCTACCTTGCTCGCTCAGCTCCTTCTCCTCTGCAAAGGGAGATGGGACTGGCTGCAGCACCCAGGATTTATCCCATGTAAGCACAGGGCTGGCCAGCCAGAGCCAAAGATACGTGGCAGCAGCAAAGCAGCCTGGCTTCGTTGCGTTGATGTTGCTTTGGTGTTGCGTTGGCGTTGTGTTGGCGTTGGCATTGCTTTGGCATTGCTTTACTGTACTGTAATCTTGATGGATGCCCCAGGGAGATACGAGGGTAACGACAAGTATAACCTTGAAGAATGGACTTTTATCCTCCTTTTGCAAAGGGGAAACTGAGACACGGGGGATTTCCCACATTCATCTTCCCAAGGGGACTGGTGGCTTGTGAATGCCACTTTCCAAATCAGGCTGTTGCAAAAGCAGCTGTCCCGCGGGGTTTCACAGTGTGATGGGATGTGCAGATCTGCCAAACTGGTGGGGAGGTGTCCCCGGTCACCCGGGGGCCATGCTCAGTCTCACCTCGCTTTGCGTTCCCAGTGCATCGCTCCCAGGGGGATGGCTGGAGCGCTCCTGCCGCCACCGGAGCAGATGTAAAAGTCTGCTACAGGTCTGTAATGTTAATTCAATGAGGAAACTTACTGGATTTTTTACATAAAATTAGCATTATAGACTCTTAATGAATGTCTGGAGAAGACTTCATTAGCTGGCTTATTTTACAAGTTGAGATCAGATACTTGATGTAAATGACCCAAAAAAGCAGTTGTACCACTCGTCGCAAGATGGATGTGGCACCAGTACCGAGTGATGTGTAAATACGCTGCTGGGTTTTTTTACATATATATGGACACGTGTAGAGCTATGGAGCACACCCACGTGTCCCTCCGTGCTGAGCTAATGCCACGTACTCCAAAGGACCTTTGCATGGATTGACATTAAGCAGACCCTGAGCGTTGAGGGGCATCCTGGGAACGTCTTGTGCCTTGTGGAGGTTTGCTGGGGGAGGAGGCAGAGCTGGCCCCAAAAAGAGCTTCCCAGCTCATATACTCACACGGAGGAGTCACTCTTAGATCAAGCTCATGTTTAACCAAGCGATCTGCCCATGGACACGGTGAAATGAGCAGGTTTGTGTGACTGGGGTTGTTGGAGAGGCCCCTTCCAGCACCAGCAGCTGGGACTGTTTTGACTCTCTACAGCTGGATGATGGTGATGAAAAGGTTGAGTGTTTATGGGTAAGGATCAGGGCAGAACAAGGCAGATATCATGGTGGGAGTCTGCTATAGACCACCCAACCAAGATGAAAAGGCAGATGAAAGAAATATTCTGTAAGCAGCTAGGGGAAATCTCACGATGCCTACCCCTTGTTCTCATGGGTGACTTGAAATCAGATGTCTGCTGGAAATACAATACAGTGGGGAGGAAACAGTTTAGGAGGTTCCTGGAGTGTGTGGAAGATAACTTCCTGACACAGTGGGTGAGGGAGCCAACTAGGGAAGGTGCCCCACTGGACCAGTTGTTTGCGAACAGAGAAGGACTTGTGGGTGATGTGAGGGTTGGAGGCCGTCTTGGGCACAGTGATCATGAAATGATAGGTTTTGATTCTTGGAGAAGTAAGGAGGGGAGTCAGCAGAAGCTTGGGCTTCTGCAGGGCAGACTTTGGCCTGTTTAGGGGCCTGGGTGACAGAGTCCCTTGGGAGGCGGTCCTGAAGGGTAAAGGAGTCCAGAAAGAATATATTCTTCTATGATGTCACCCACCTTGTGAATGGAAAAAAGATGGTAGGTGTAGTTTTTCTGGATTTCAGTAAGGCTTGTGATGGTGTCCCTCACAGCATCCTTCTGGACAA